CTGTTGTATATTGAATAATGCAGCTGTTTGTTGCAGATTAGTTATCCCTTGACAGTCACCCCTGAAATTCCTTAAAAACCTTTTTTTTTTTTCGTAAGAGTGTCAAACTAAAGGTAAGAACTGTAGGAAGTTGTAGTTTTCAAAATAAAAGCCTAACATTTAAAGGCAGAAATCGAACCGTTTTTGCCCACCGATGGAACAAAGACCTAGAAAGCTAAAACTTTTCAAATTAAAGGTCTTACTTCCAAGACAAAGTTTTAGATTAGGATCACTGTATGTTGAAAAACGATGACTTCATAGTCATTTTATAGGTATAAACTGAGTTAGAGACATTTTTTGTTAGCTATTGTAGCTGCGGTGGCCATCTTGAATTKGACTGRCTAAATAAACTTGTCACAAAAAGTAAGRAAACTTGTGTTTGGTATTTTATTTCTTTGTTGTAACAAAGCTTCTTGGCAATAAATCGAATACCATTGCAAAGCCTGGTTTTAAATGCTGCCACATTTGTAAGGAACATGCATTTGTGGGATGAGCAGTAGAGCTGAGTATGTGAATTGTCAACATGAAAAATTTGCCAMATCGTCTCTGCCAAACAGCTTATTTAGCTTTATTTGTGTTTTGAGCTTCTGGTACCCCCAAGTGCTGCCAGTCAGCTGCCCAGTATAAGATTTATTGTCAAGAAGCTCTGGTCAACAGACATAGGTAGAAATCTGTARTAGTCACAGTGTAAAAGATGAACATGYAGCAGGTAAATAAGTCACTTCCTGTTTTGAGGGGGTGGGGCTAAGGTGATGTCACCAAGTGACCACGTGAGTGTGAGTGCCAGTCTGCTATGACACACAGAAATGATCATGCAGCTGAGACCTTCTAAGTGGAAGTTATTGAACCTTGATGTTTCATGGCGAATGATCAGTTTCTGAGGCTTGGCCACGCCCACATGCTTCGCTGCAGCAAAAATCTGTTGATATCGTTTGATCACCAATACCTTAAGACTGTGCTGCTGAGTGAATTTGAAGTCTGTAAGTTAAAAGCTGTACGAAGAGTTCACACAGATACCTGTACAGGAAAAGAGACAAAATGGCACCTTGGATCCAAGATGGCCGACTTCCTGTGGCGTTTTGACCATGGTTCCAAGAGACTTTTTTGTAGKTCTTGATATGTTACAGATGTGTGCTGAATTTCAAATCTGTCAGTCAAAGCATAGCTTGGGGCTCATTTTTTTTAAATATTGTAGAGGGCGCTATGGAGTAWTTAGGCCACGCCTACCAATAGTTACACCATTGGTGGCCGGATAAGGATCGAGCTTGACCCAATCAACATGAAAAGAAATAATCTACCAAACACTCATTTTCTTATTTCTTRTTGTTTTTGTGCAAAGTTTATTTTCTGAAAGTTTTGTTCATGAGATTGGTTTAGACAAATTCATAAAGAAACCATGTTCCACAACCACAGCACGTACTGTAGTCTTTCCTGTTTCCACGTTGGGGGTCTTAACACTGAAACCTGACTGCGGTTGTTTTCCTCAGAGAGAGTTTGGCGCCGACTGCAAGCTGAAGGAGCGAATCGAGGAGAACGGCTACAACACGTACGCGTCGGCCGAGTGGAAGAACAAGAAGCGGCAGATGTTCGTGGGCCTGAACGTCCACGGGAAGCCGATGAGAGGAAAGAAAACCCGCAGAAAGAACACGGCCACCCACTTCCTCCCAATTATGGTGTGAACTGGAGAGCCCACCTGGAGTGGGAGCAGCCACCTACAGCACTGGACAGAGAGGATTTCAATACTTAAAAAGAAAAAAAAAAAACAAAATAATAAAGACATGAATTAGGAAATCTCTCATTTTGGAAAAGAAATAAAAGGCACTAACACTGACACAAGTGGTCTCTGAGATTGAGATGATGTATTTCACTGGGTGAAAGAAGATGATCTGTGTTTTGATTGGCACCAGCTGCAGGGTTAATGGTTTACTTCCTGTGCCAAACAGTTTAAAGCTGGAGTCTGTGTGCGATGCAGACAACACTAAAGATGTTTTCCCAGTTAGACGGATCTATATGTGTTATTTATATTCAAATATTCCAGTGAGACGTTTATTTAAGGGGTGAGAACGATTGGTCCGATTATCACGACAGCACGAAATATTAGAAGATGAAGCACATTTAAAGTAACACTTTGATACTTAACCACTGTGTTCTGACTGAACTGTAATGATTTATTTATTTTTTGTGAGATATTTAACTGGAAGGAACACCGGCATTCCTTTGCATTCTACTTTTTATAGGAACTCTTGTTATGTAAGAAAATAAAATCACAATTTCCTCCTCTCCAACAGAGTGGATCTGTATTCCTTCACACACTAAAGTGCTAGAGCTCAGAGGTAAAAATAAATAAATAAATAAATAAATAAAAAGAAAAGAAAAAGGAATCTTTTTTTTTTATTTTGTTGTTTTCGGGTCGTGGCAGGCCGTTTCTTATCTGGGAGGGACAAAATAGCAACCATTAATGCC